ATTGCTGGACTCTTCCTTTCCCTGGATTTTGTATACATTCTATTAAAAAAGGAAAAAAATGAATATTGGCATGTGATTGATTCCTAACACTTCAGAAAAGAGGAAAAAAATAATTCTTAATAAAAATGAATAAATTTTGCTTCCCTGTCAAAGCTACCATCCCCTTTTTTACATTTGGTAAGGGCTGAGCAGAGAGAGGGTAATTATTTTTTGTCAGAAGCTGGTGAACTGTTACAATAAACTGAAGAACAGAAAGATCTGGATACAGGAAAAAACACTGCACTCTGACACTGTTGTATTTTTCAGGTCTTACTGACTTCACTAGATTAAGTGGCTATACTGATTGATTGCAATATGAAAAGGCAGATCTTAGTCCTAAAATGACCAAGAGAATTTGTTTCCTGCTTCTTCCCCATTACTGTAAATGTGAGTAATTGTGGTTGAAGCAGGCTCAGGACCCACTAAATGAAATTAAGCATAATGAACCACAAGAGTAAGATGTCCTGTCTCTCTGTGTAAACAAGGATTAAATGCTGGTTTTAACTACAAGATGACTTTACTGGTCCCATTTGTTTTATGGATTGCCTACCACCCATTACTTAATTAAACCAAAAACATGAGCCTAGCTTTATCATTAGCCAGCCTGTGAGCAATCATCAGGTGTCACTGAAACAGCTCTTCGTACAGTTTGACAAACCTTCACTTTAGGGGTAGGATAAAAATAGTTTATTGACTTTGGCTTGTCTATCCTGAAATCAATGTGTGCTGTTAGACCCTGAACAGTGCACATCTGCACGATATACAGAACACAAAATATAGGTTTCATGGGCCTGGTTTGCTATTGCATTTCATCAGTGTTATAAACATACACCAGGGTAAAACCAGAGTCACACACAGTTGAATCAGCCTCCTTGTGCCCCATGGAAATACCCTGCTTCTCTGCAAAAATCTTTCCACAGAAAGCTTTCTACATGATATCATCATATTTCTCCTTCCTGGCACTCTTTAACCCTTTCTTCTGTGACCAATATCCAGTAATAGAGGTGTTCTTTGATAACTTTGGCTGTTGTATACTTTTCACTTTTCCCTTCTTTCTTTTTCTTTCCATTTTCAAGGGTTTGGTTGGGGGTTTTTTGTTCATTTGTTTTTTTAATTCCACCCTGAAAACAATTTCAATTCCTTCAGTGGAGTCACTGTAATTTTTGCTCAGTGCTTTAAGGTTCATCCTTCTCTCCCAGCATTTTCCATCTAGGAAGCCAAGATCTGAGATCCCTCCTGTGTTTAATTTAGTCAGCCTTTTAGATTAGCTCACCACTGCCCATGCATGAGGGAGCAAATGAAATTGAACATGAGCTTCATGATTGCCTCTTACTAACAAGATTGGTTTTCAAATTTTCTGTAAGAACAACACATTGGGCTTAGTGAAAACATTTTATCCTTGTAAACTTCTCTACAGACACTGAGAAAAGAGCAAATAAGCCAGAAAGACTTGAGGGTCAAAAAGGTATCAGGAACATAGGTTTTCTGCTATAAGAGTTCCCAGGTGACCGACAACCTGGGCTTGTTCAGCTATTTTTGAGACAGGCAGGCAACTTGCTGAGTCAGTGCTCATTCAGTGTCCTTCAAGAATGAATTAACAGCAGTAGGAATATGCTTTGCTTCCTCAGTAGGATTTTTTTTTTTTTTCCTGAAACTGTTTTGGGCAGCTTTGGCTGGAGGAAATGGATACAACTGCCATTATCACATAAAAGCAAGACCACTTCCTCCAGAAAAAAAGTCACAGTTATATGGGTCAAAATGGCAACTGGAGGTCTTTTCAAACACATGAGCTTTTAATAGGTAGACTCAGAATAATTGCAGAAGGTTTGTACCAGACTACCTGGAAGCAAGCTTCAGTTGTTTACCAGTAAGGATAAAGCACCTCTGCCTAACCTTTCTTGTTACAGGAATTTTACACAGCTTGATTTAATCCGGGCTGAGATAACAAGCCTCAGATATGAGGTTCTCAGGAGACTGTTCAGCTGATTTTCCAAATGAGCTCTGTACTTTTAATATTGTTGTAAATGCACGTTAATTGCCCAGGAACCTTAGACATATTTGGTAAAGCTGGTTGTCACAGCAGTTGTTGCCATGCTACTTGGTCTGTTTTGCATTTAGCTTTTTGGTATGATAATATTACAAAATAGCATACTAACTGTGGGGAGAAAAGAAACAACTCATCAAGCCTCTTTCTTCCTAATATGGTTAAATAAAAAGCCTTGGTTTGAGCTAGCTGAAGTCCTGATGGAGTCAAAGCCCGAGGATCAGTCTGGTGTAGTGTGTGAAGAGCACAAAGGTCATGGTCAATATTCACACTGGGAGAGCAGGAAATATTTGAATTCCTTGACCATGACTAAATGATGGGGGTCAGTGATGCTATCAGGGAAAAAGCCCTCTTCTCATCCCAGCACATGTTTGACCAACAAGAGCATTTCTTCCAGTGATTGCTGGTGTGGGAGCTCTGGGCTGTGTTATAGCACAGACGTAGGGACTGATTTTTCACAAAGGTTTATACTAAGCAGAGACATTAATTGTGCCGTGGGCAGCAGTGTGAGGGGCTCATGTGGAGCCATGGGCTGAAGAGGAGGCTAGGGAGGGACAGGCTGTGGCAGGGTGATGGGCACCCACCACATGCTCGACACCAGGCCTCGGTGTTTCTCTCTGCTTGTACAGCACACAGTGAAAAGGGGCCCCACATGCTGTTAGAGTGCCAGGAAGTTTGCCTTTTTCCTTATTTGTGTTCACTATCACCTTTTAAACAAAAGAGAGCAGCTTTTCACAGCAGTAAGCAATTGGCTGGCAGGAGCTGATTCTCCCGGCCCCACCAGCTCCCAGCTGAAGAGATGGGGGTTTCTGGCTGCTTTTTAGGGGTTCTGCCTCTGCTGGTTAAAAACTCTGCTTGGTTCAGTATTAACTCATGATATTTAAGTCCTGTGAGACTTGTAGGTTGTTTTGGTTTGGTTTGGTTAGGTTTGGTTTTTTTTCTCCTTCTTGAAAGAGAAATAGGTGAATCCATTAAAAAAAAAAAAAAGAAGAAGAAGAGCTGTAACTTCCAGATTCATTATTCCGGTAATTATGATTTATCAGGTACCCCGATCATTTGAGGCTTTGCAAACAAAAGCTCACTGAAAAGCTTGCATCTCCCTAGAGGGTGAGCTACATGGAAAGCACTCAAATAGCTTTAACCACACTTAGATTCTTCTCAGATTTGATGATAGTGGCTTGTTCTAATTAAAACAATAACAGTTTCAGTGCTACGTTTAAAAGCAAACAATCATTTGCTGTTTATGAGGAAAAAAAAGGGTAGAAAACTGAAGATAGCACTTCTCTTTCTGGAGGAAATGTGTCTCCACTGCGCCATAGTACATTTTCTTCTGCTGAAATACAGTCACCCTTCTGAAAGCTTTGCTTCCCAGCAGCTGATCACGAGCACATGGGCAGGTCTGGCAGCTGAATCATCTGTGTTACACCTCCCTGTGTTCGCAAGGAGGCAAAGGTCTGAGCTTTGCTTTTTTTAAGCACTGATAATGTCCACAGCCAGATTTGTTGTGCTCCATTGTTTCCACTTCAGCTCCCCCAACGTAGGGCTCAGACCTAACAAAGAAGAAATTGCCTGAGACCACCCAGAAGAAGCATGAAAGCTCTAGGAGCCTCAGGGAAGCAGCCAGACCATCACTGACAAGGAGGGATGCAGCAGGGGCAGCAGCACAAAGGGGAAAAAGCACGTCCAGTCAGATTTGTTAAATGATATATTGTTTATATATCCATTCCAAAAACTTTGACAAGGAGGGAAATACAGAAAAGGAAGTATGCTTTTTTTTTTTTAGTAGAGTAAAAGTGATGTCTGTGGTTTTAAACAAAGGCCTGTTGGCAGAACGGTGCCATAAAGAAAAGGAAGAGAAAGGGAAACTGCTTTTGAATTAATTCAGATAAGTGAAGGCCAGAAGACCTTATGACAAAATTTTCCATTAATTCCTGAAGTCTAGCTTTCTGACATAATTATGTTGCCTTCTGACTCCTTTGTGCAAATATTGTTGTGCTTATTATTACTGTTTACTGTAATGACTGTAACTACACTTACAAAAGCTGCTTATAGTATTGCAGCCATAATAATGAGAAAGAGTAAAGTCAGACAAGACTTTCATGGTGAGTATTTTATAAGATTTTGAATGAACTTGTATAACTGTCTTCAGCTGCAGGAATTTACAGTGGGAAAACACAAGAACAAAGGAGCAAGGAACAAACTTCTTTGTTTTGAGTCAATCACTGTATTGAATAGTGACTTGAAATTTGATTTTTAGTGAATCATAATTTTTTTTTTGTACCTGTGATTAAAACCTTCTGTTTGGTCTAAAACATATTATTTCATTTCAAAGATACATTTTCGTAAGATTAATTTATTTTACTTTAAGAGAAAATTTATTTTTTAGAAGGGATTACAAATAAAAGGTAACTATTCTTCTGAATTAAAGTTTCAAGTTTTTAATTTTTTGGTGTATAATATGCACAGGCAGTGGAACCAAGATGAGTTTGTAAAATATTTCAGGGTTCCCCAGAACTTCCCCAAAGACATTTGCACCGAAGCATTTCAGTCAGTAAGAAAAGCAAGAAGCGATATAAAGAGAAACTGAGACACAAAAAAGCTAAGATACTTTTCCAGTGTCTCATTAGATGGGTAGCAATGTTAGAAATAGAAACTGCATCTCCTGAGTCTCCCTCTAGGATTTAAAACACTAAAAGACATTAAAGAGATAAATTATTAGACGCAAAATAAATTTCTAACCATAACTGTTATGAGAAACAGAGAACATGAAGACCACAAAAACTGTGCACTTTGCCCCCAACATCTTGTTCCCCGCCTCCCCAGTACAGTCACAAGTGAAGCCCTAGTTGTGTGTTTTGTTTGCATGGTACAAGTTAGCATGAAAGGTATTTTTATATTCATCGCTATCTCGTTTCAGAAAGTCTCTCCCTCGTTGTCGAAGAATTAACAGGATGCTTTCCAATGAATCAGCACCTCCTCCTGCATTCAGTCGCTCCAACTCGCAGGCCTCCATGGACAGCACATCCATGGAGGACTTCTGGTGTGAAGTGGAGAGCATCAAGGAGAGCAGTGGAGATGGACCTGAAGAAGCAATGCTCTTGGAGTTCAAACCTGCTGACGGTGAGTACGTGAACAACACTCCTTCCTCATAACTTGGCTTTTCCTCATCTCTTTAGTGATGCCTTGATCTCCCTCCTCATGTCAATCAGTATAAGCAAAAGTACTAGGCTGGGTCTATGATCATTTTTGCTCCACTTCTGAACATCACAATGTACAAGATGCCACTGGAAAGAAACAATAAATCAGTCTGATTTATGCACCAGGGCTGGTGAATAACTTCTGACATAAGGTTTTTTTGCATTGATTTTATTTGTGCTTCAAGAGGATAGATGAGGTATAATTCAGAAAAGAGAGGCATTAAATGAAAACTACATCTCCAGCATTAAATAAACTAGGGGAAACAAAACAAAACAAAACATGAAAAAGGAATAAAAAGTTCATTTAGTATACCAGAATTTTGGTAGGATATAATGGAGAAGTTATAAAAATCTTGAAGCAGTTTTAAGTTAGATATCTTTTGGTGCTATCAGAAATTTGATAACTGCCTGTTTCTCTGATACTGCCCAATTTAGGCATAATTCAAGGAAAGATTAGAGATAAATCTGATTATATAGATACCTACATCATTCACACTCCTCACTTGTCAAAATACATTCATCATACAAATTATGCTGAAGGTATTACTACCTCATTGTTTTACCTTAACCTTTCCCCCTCTCCTTTTCCAAAATGTATTTGGAAAAAAGATGTAATAGTCTGCACTAGCTTATTGCAGCTTTTTGTTAGATGATTTGATAACATCTAGAACAGCAATTCTCATTTTTTTCCAATTATGATCCCACTTACAAATTAATTATATTGTGCGACAGAAAATACCAGGTGTTACTATAGGATGAAACCAAATTTCTTTTGAGGTCATGACCCACTGATAACTGCTGCAACCCTTTTGTGGATCATGGCCACTAGTCTGGTAACTACTGATTTAAGGACAGATTTTGAAACGTTGGTGTGTTCTTTCTATACAATTATTAACACTAGTGTCGATGTATTTTTCTTACCTTGACAAGCAATGGGATGTCGTTAATTCTGCTACCAGGAAAAAGAGTGAAAAGTGGGAAAGGGTGTTACTTTATTATGTAATGAAATATGTAACTAGTCATGATAAATATCCCACACAGAAGTATCTAGCTCCAACCATGTATCATTTCCACAGGGAACACCTCCCACTCACTAGTTCCAAGTAGGGCTTTCCTGTAAGCAAAAGGATAAGACCTCCATTCGCCAAAAATCTTAGTCTGCTATGAGGGTTATAGACTGGAAGCTCAAACCCAAACTACACTTCCTTGTGCTGGTCTGTGGTCTCAAATAAAAATAGATCAATAAGTAACATTGAAACTTTATGGTTATTATTATGGGAAGTCAGAAAATCTTTCTGCCTCAATCAGTTTGACCTTATTGGGAAAATTCCTGTCTGATCATGCTTTCTAGCTTGGAGACCCCAGAAAGAGATTGTAAAACTCTCAGTGTCTCCTTCATGTAATTATCAGTGTGAACTGGGTGTCCCTGATTTGTCTGCACAGTCAGGGGAATGTCACATATTTGTGAGTTACCAAGCTGGATAAATTGGTAGGACAAGGCAATACAGGAGCCCATTTTCCATGTTCTCAGAAGATTTTCCATCAGTTTAATCACTGCTGGGCTAAATCTTCACAACAGTGCAAACTCTGCTCCAGTCCCATGTTACCCTTTGTCTGTTTATGCCTCATTACATTGCATTGATTTTTTTATCTTCTGTTCTGAATTAAAAATGAAACTGCAAGGTAAAATGCAATACACCTCCACACTTCATTTACCTTCACACTGTTGTTTTAAACATATATATATATTGCATACACACAACGAGACAGTACTTGTCCTACTTATTATCTTCAGGAATATATTCAGTTTGGGATTATAAATCTTGGAAATAATAGTGAGTTTTATTAAGCTCCTAATAGGATAATACTCCTTGCTGAGGATCAAAACACTGAAAATCAATGTGGAAGTCCTCAGGGCAAAATTAAAACAAATTTTAGTCACCCTTTTGAGATGTCTTTGAAAGGAAGAGGTACAGAATCCTTAAGAAGGAAGCCAAAGAGTGATAGCAGCCAGACACCACTGATATTGTTGAAACCACAATGCTGGGTTTTGCCCTACCACATGTGCGAGGGAAAGACATCAGCACACTTACTCTGTTGACATTAGTAACTATGGTCAAGAAAGAACAGAAGATCACAGCAAGTGATACAAGGGATGAAAATATAGGGGAAGAGGAAGTCACAGGTTATCTAAGATAGCAGTGATGTGCAGAACTGCTTTAACACTTGATGTTACAAGGCAGGGATGCTGTGAGTTATTTGGGGTTATATCTGAAATTCAAAGAAAGTTACTGCTCTTTCCTAGCAGTCTCTATGAGAAAAAGAGAATTACCAGACAGAGGGAACCTTCCTAATTATCTGTTTGTCTTCTGATGGAGCAGAATCAAACACAGTATCAAGACCCTGCTATATAAATACCTACCACTATAATGTTTTGTAAAACAACATATTTTTCTTTTAGCCCTTATTTAAACCTATGGGTCATAAAATTTTGAGGGCTTTCTTTTAATGCAGAAATTTCTTCTCCTCAATAGTTTTACTCCTATGGTTGTTTTTGTTATTTCTTAGTCTATTAATGAGTGGTTGGAACAGGAAAAGAGCAAAAGCCAGAGAAAACTAGTCATAGCAGTGGCTGGTAAGCAGGCACAATTTTGTGTCTGCTTTACTATTTTTCATAGCATCATGAAAGCCAAGTTTGATTAAAAACTAAATTCTTTGAAAGAATTCAGGACAAAAGCCAAAATGAATGTAATTAAGAAACTAGAACATGAATGGATGTGACTAGAACAGCACCACATGAAAATTAAAAGAGACCTTGCTAGAAAGAAGAATGAGGATGGCAGAAGAAACATTGGTTCAAGGAAGGAAAGGAATAGCCTGCCATCCTATCTGTGGATACTAGAAAGGATCAGAGCAGAGACAAGTTGTTTCACGGGATACAGGACTGGTCACACCCCATCTAACACAGCGCAGGGGTTTTAGCAGCAGATAGCTTTGTAAAGAGACAAGACAGTTAACAGTGAAGTCAGTGAAGGCACATGTGTAAGAAGCTTTCACTTGTCCCCATGGTCCAGCCCTGTAATTTTCTTTTTTGTGTATCTACCTGCCAAAGTGCAGCAAATTGGTATCTATCAATCTGCCTGCATTCTGGTGTCAAGAAGAGGCAATAAAGGGAGAGTGGAAATACCAGTCAGCCATTAAGACCAGGCCTGGGACAAGAACAATCAGTGCATTGATTAGTTGTTTTGTAGAACATGCACAAATTAATCCATTTCCTGTTTGACATGTTTATTGGTAATACCTTCTCTTCAGTCAAAGCTGGAACACAGTTAGTCTCTTGTCTCAAGCAGCATATTGCTGAGCTAGGATTGTTTACAGAACTAAAATGAAGGCCCTCAAAATCTCCTATGTGAAGAGAGGCAAACTATGACTGTTTACTTTAAAAAGCAGACATATAAAAAGACAATGACCATAAAATTTAAAATTACTCAATTATTTAGTGAGGATAGATTGGGAGCTTCTCCCTGTCCTGCAGTGACAGGGAATATTCATTTAATGTAACAGATAGCAAGCTGAAACCCTGTATTGGGTTTGCATGGCAAGGTATTGGTAGGCAAGGGCTCTGTCAGAAGATGACAGAAGTTTCCCTATGTCCAATAGAGCCAGGAAAGAAAATACTCTATCACATAATCTCACTATGGAAACAATTGTGGTGTTGAACCAGTTGAGAAGCACGTATTAAACAGGATTCAGGAAGATATTAGTCACTAATCAAGATATCAAGAAATGCTGGAATGTAGAATGCTAGCCAGTCTTTATTAGAAATCAGGATGATATCTAGCATGCAAGGATAGCTATTTCTGCATCTTCCACCACGACCTGACCTCTTTGATGACTGCCCCTACCTGATTCTTGCTCTTTAGTGAGTAGTTCTGACTCTTAATTATCTTGTTCAAAACAGGCTATTGGACTAGGTGGACATCACATCTCTCAGTGTGGGGTCTTCGCTAGATATCTGATTACTGGATGACTTTGGCATCTCAAATCTTATCCTTAGTGTGCAAATACATTATTCTATCATATACACCACTTCAGTATTTTTACTTATGTTAACTGGAATACCGATTTAATTTCCACCTGCCAAATGACTTCATCCAGTACAACATGGTATAAATGGGAATTGAGGGGATTTATGCTTTTGAATGAGAGGTTACTTTTTACCAACCTTGCTGTGTCAGGCTAGGCACTCTACTGCCTTCTTTGCACGAGTGTGTTGATGCACAGGTTAAAAATACCTCTTCTGTTCTTCTCCTAAGCCTCTCCTGTGCAGAGACTGCCAAACTGAAAGTTGATAGTATGTTGACAAAACTACTTTAACTTACACTTGTGGCCTAACAAAGATTGGAAGTAGAGTCTTCTTGAGGTAAAGGCTAAGGCAGCGGTCCACCATGCCTCCTCCCTTCCTTCAGCTCCCTCTTCCTCCTGTACCAGGCCTGGTAACACACTCTCTTCCTCCACAGAAGGGGAGCTGGAGGCAGAATGGCTGCAGGATGTAGGTTTATCTACGTTGATCTCGGGAGCTGAAGAGGAGGACGGCCAGGCCCTGCTGTCCACTTTGACCCGAACTCAAGCTGCCGCTGTACAGAAGAGATACAACACCTACACTCAGACATTGAGGAAGAAGAACAAGCACACAGTCCGGGATGTACGAGACATCTTTGGCACCAATGACTCTTCTGTAAGTAGCTAATGACTCCTACTGAATGCTTTTGTGCTTAATTTTTATGAATTTTTGCAAGTAGCTCATCAAGTCTCTACCAGACAGGAATCATTTTCTTCTGACAGTGTACAGACAGCCAGTAGCAGTTCCTGACATTAAGCCCAGACTTTTAACTCGGTATATATTACATATTGAGAGGAAAGGAAGCAGCCAAATAAAATAGATGGTGCACAGTTTTGCAACTAACCTGTAACATAATGTCATATCTGTTGCCAGCCTTCCTCCTGCAATCTCCTATCAAGACTAACATTTACTCCCTTATTTTTTGGAAATTGGTGAGTTACTCTTGGCAGCTATTCAAATTTTTGCTGGCTTCTGGGGACACTTGCTATTTAGTCAGCAGTCTCAGCGGTGAATAAAACTTCTGTAATGAGGCAACTGGGGTTCAAATATGCATAAGCAATTAAACACCTGCCAGCATGATTGCAACTGGTACACTGGCAGTTACATTTCACTTACATAGCAAATGGCAATCTATTAACTGTTCATTTTCTTCATGGCTTCAAAAAATAATTCTGGTAATTTCATCCACTTTTCCCTGGGGATAGATCTAAATGCACCAATGCCTATACCTACACATTTTCATTTTGGTGAATGCAGTCAACTGTGTGAGTTCAGTCACAAAGCAACACGCATGATTTTACGTATGTTACTCATGATACCCTAAATGGGAGTCACTAATAAGCTCACAAGCTCACCTTTGAAATTAATATTAAAGTTCTTGCCATTATAGAATTCCAATAAACTCTTTTTCATTATGAAATAATTTTGTCTTTTTCTATTTGTCCTACCTTATCCTCAAGGCTTGTCACCCTGGATAAATTAAAAAAAAAAAAAAA